CACACACACACACACACACACACACACACACACATGCCTGCATGTGCTATACATTTTGCACTTAACAGCTATTCAACTCCCTATTAGCTTGGCAGGTATTGATTTAGAAGTAGAGAAAGAGCAGTTCTCTGATTTTATAGTCTTTTATCTCAGGATTATGGAGGATCTTACATCATTCATTAATTAAGTCTCACCGCCCCCCACTTCTGAAAGGTGAGCCCTGAAAGGCTGTTATTTTCTGCCGTAGCCCATATGGTACCATGACATGATATTAACTTTGGAACACAGTGCACCAAGAACCCAGCAACTCACAGGAAGAGCGTCCTCCCTGAAAAAGCCGCTAGGCCGGGGACACACTGTGCAAATGAACTGCGGGGAGGGAGAGGGGAGGAGCTGGAATAGAGAGGTATGTGATTTTAATGGTGGGATTCTCTGGCAGATGAAGTTGGTTTTAAAATTGAGAATAATTTAATTCACTGGTAAATCGATGATCTTTCCTCATCCACCTCCTCCCAGTGGACCATCAAACCCTGTAAAACTCATCCCATATTGATCCCTCTCATTCTATGGAAGCAGGTGATGTTCCTTTGAAGAAGACAATGATGATAATGACAGTCTGGGATCTGTTTACATTTCTTTTCTCTTTCCCCAGACACAACTTCTCGGCAAAGTTAGAATTAGGTCAGTGAGTTTACCACTGATCCCATCCCTCACCACAACCGCCTTTAAATATCTATGTACATATACGGTTCAAAAAGTCATAGAGCTGAAGCATAGCACAGGTTTGTTAGTAACCTGGAAAAAAAGGGTAGATAGAGGAGAGAGGTATCAAATCTGATGGTGATAGAAGGTTTGCAACTTCTCACTGGGACACAGTACCAACACCAGGATTTTTCAGTCAATTATTTCTTATTGAGAGCAAAGAGTTATGTAATTATACCAACAATGGGTGTTAAAAAGAGAATAAAGGAGTAAAAGAACATTGAAAAAAAAAGGACTACAGAATAACATAGGTTTCTAAGCATGGTTATTTGAGAAATAAGAAACCTGAAACAGAACATGGATTTTAATTTTAAAGGATTGTTTAAAGCTATGCTACAATAAGAAAAAAATTACCCCTCAGGATAGACCAGCTGTCTGCAAGGTGAAGAGCATAATGAGTCATATGTTATCCCATATAATCCAGAGAGCAACTTGCATGGTAGGTTTATTTACTAATTTTTAATTAAAAATGCTTGTGTTAATCTTCACCTGAGATTATTTTTCCATTGATTTTTAGAGAGAGAGGAAGGGAGGGGGAGAAACACACAGAGAGAGAAACATCGATGACACACATCAATTAGTTGCCTGTTAGTTAGCTTCCACATATAAGTGAGATCATATGCTATTTGTCTTTCTCTGACTGGCTTATTTCACTTAACATAATACTGTCCAGGTCCACCCATGCTGTTGCAAAGGGTAAGATTTCCTTCTTTTTATGGCAGAGTAGTATTCCACTGTGTAAATGTACCATGGTATGGTGATTACCAGAGGGAAAGGGGGCTAAGGGGATGTAGGAGACGGTAAACAGGGGATAAATGGTGGTGGAAGGAGACTTGACTTGGGGTAGTAAACACACAATACAATATACAGATGATTGAATTGTAACCCTAAAACCTATTAAACAATGTCACTCCAATAAATTCAATAAAAAAGAAAACATATCAATGAAGGAAGAAGTAAGTCCCATTGTCAGTGTCCCTTTGGCATTCTGGGTAATAATCTGTTTAGGATGGCTGCACATATCTATTTGCTCAGCAAAGCTAATTTTAGCTGAAGACAAAAATATGTAGAGAGCAATGACACATTTTTGCTAACAGTGCTAGGCTATCATGCCAGATCAGGCCCTCCCCGCCCCCCCTAGAAAACACAAAAAACACCCATGAAATATTGAGACACATCAGAAGTTTCAATTCTTTCAGAAGAGAAGAAAATTATCACTTGGGAGCAGAAAAGAATGATCCATTTACTTCAGAAATATGCAAAGCAAATCTAACCTCTTTCTCTACCTCTTCAAAGAATGTTTTCTTTATCTTTTCCTCTCCTCCAAGCAGCCTTTTCCTCTGTAGCTACTGTACTATTCCAATTAAAACCTCATATTTTCGAGACATAGCTAAATTTTTCATTTTAACATATAGTTAATATTAACCCCAGACCACATATTTACCAGGATATACAACAACACAGTTTAGGCTGAAGTTTCCTTTGGTTATATTGTGGATTATCCACACATTTAGAAACCATCCACAGACTTTATAGCTGTACAATTTTAAACATGTCAGACAGATACCTTCTGGTCATGTGACATTGGGAAATGTATTTAACATCTCTCTAAACTGGTTGTTAAAGTGGGGCTCATGACAGTGCCTGCCTCTCAAAAATATGCAGATGAAATGAAAAGATCTTTGCAAAACATTTAGCCCAATACTTGGATCATAAAGAATGCCTATTTATTATTTATGATTACATTATTATTGCTATTATTTGTGTAATTTTAATAGTCTTCCTGTCTAGCTTATCTTCAAAATCTCATCAGCCATCCCACTGCCTCTTTAGATTCACTGAAAATGTTTACTTAGAGGCTGTACCATACGTCTAAGTGCCGAAGTAAAGCCATAACATGGATATAACTTAAAGCCCGTGGAATATGAAAATCAAGTCATAGGGGCACTTGTGGAGAGGAAACATTTTATAGTGAAAGCCCAGATAAGTCTCTAGATAAGTCACATTACAGTTATAAAAAAGACAGAAAGACTAAAAATTGTTTTCACTCTAAGAAAAAAATCAAAAGACAGTACCAATTTTTATCCTCCCTTTGTGTATAAATCAACATGACACCATATTTTTATCTCTTCACTAATTTTTTAAAGTAAAACAGCTTTAACAAAAAGCATTGTACTAAACACACACACACACACACACACACACACACACACACACTCACACACAATAGCTAGACCAGGGGTCCTCAAACTTTTTAAACAGGGGGCCAGTTCACTGTCCCTCAGACCGTTGGAGGGCCGGACTATAGATTTAAAAAAACTATGAACAAATTCCTATGCATACTGCACATATCTTATTTTGAAGTAAAAAAACAAAATGGGAATAAATACAATATTTGTATTTGCATGTGGCTCTCGGGCCGTAGTTTGAGGACCCCTGAGCTAGACTCTATAGCAACATGTCATCTTCAACCCAATTTCATGAACCTGTTCATGGTTTGAAGCCTAAACTTACTTACATGGCCTTCGTTAGTTAGTTAGTTAGTTAGTTAGTTAGCTAGCTAGTTAACTTAGTTTTCACTCTTATTTTTCCACAAGGTATAGGTTTCTCCAATTGCATGTCCTTTGCTGTTTGTATGGGATGCCAGAAAACTGTCTCCATATTTCCATAGATGACCATGACAGGCATAAATGCTGAGACATTGATAGAGCAAGTTCCCAAAAAAGATGGTGGCTACATTCTTCCCATCATGGTTTACAGTGGAAAAGGAAAATTTTCTTCATTCTATGAAAAAACCATCAGGAGGCCACTGGTTCAAAAGTAAACAAACAAAAAAACCCAACACTTCAAAGACCCAGGCTTTGTTTTTAAAATATCGTGGCCTATATTTAAGAAAACTAAGTAGACAGCATGAACTTAAGAAAATACAAGGAATCTTTAAAACTCAAGTCAGCTCTTGCAGATGAAAAAGGAATTCTCTAAACAGAACAGCAGTTGCTGGCTTAAGGAACTATAGGCCCTGCCAAATTGTAATATAGCCTTATATACTCGCCTGTAATTATTGTTTTTCTCATATGACTGCACAGCTCCCATAGAAAGATATAACAGTAACAATTGAATCTTTGCTCCCCCTGGAACTTGTGATGCAGAAACAACACTCACCAGTATCTGCTAACTTTTCTTTCCTGGGCCTAGAGAAGACTAGAACGCCTTAGCACCCGCCCACCACTGCCTTCACAGTTAGGTGGGGCCATGTGATTCCTGACACATGGATTGTAACAGAATATAAGTGTGTCTCTTTTAAAAGAGGCAGAGAGCCCAGCCAGCATGGCTCAGTGGTGAGCATCGACTTATGAACCAGTGGGTCAGAGTTAGATTCCTGGTCAGGGCACATGCCCAGGTTGTGGGCTTGATCCCTAGTAGGGGGCATGCAGAAAGCAGTCAATCAATGGTTCTCTATCATCTTTGATGTTTCTATCTCTTTCTCTCTCTCCCTCTCCCTTCATCTCTGAAATCAATAAAATATATTTTAAAATAGACTCTGGTTATATTTTAGATTGTACACATTTCTTTCATGTGCATTATCTCATTTGACCCCTCTGGCATCCTTATAAACATCATCACAAATAACTTGTCATATGTCATCTAGGTAATCAGTGTCTGAGAATCTATCCCAGTGGTACAAAGATGCTTTCCCTTACAAACAATGAAAAGGCTTCTCGTCCTGTAGCTAATGAACTCTCCAACCTCAGAGTGCTCTGTATTATAAATTGAATTTCAAAAAATCACATATTTAACAGTGATAATGAATATCAATGTACCTGTAAGACAGAGCTTTATAAGACTAGAAAGATTTACATCTGATGAGCTTAAGGAAAACAGATAAAAAATAAATAAGTAAAGGAAGGAAGGAAGGAATGGAAGGAATAAAGGAAATAAGAAAGGTCATTAATTTCCTTGATCCTCCTATATGCCCCTAAAACTCCATGGAGACAATGACTTGAAACCCCAAGTCTTCCTTATCCTTGACTCCTTTGCCCTTGACACTCTATAACCCAGCTTACCCCATACAGAGACACCAAACATGCACATGCTTGATGAAACTTTTATAGCTGCCATTACGTAATGAATTTGCTGTCAGTTTGTCTAAAATGTGCCTGTTGAATAAATGAGCAGAAAGAAATAAGCAATGGAATTTTCAACTAACTACAATCAACTTGGGCATATCTACCCTGCACTGCAGTGCGTCTCCAGCATCCTTACTCATTCATGACACCTGAACTTTTCAGCAATGAGGAGAACAATATAAGGCAATAAACAATAAAAAAACATTTACTATAGTTTTGTTAAAAAGTTGTTTGTACTGTTAGGATGTAATACAGTAAGTTACCAACCATATTCAAAACCAGGTGTATTTTCCAAATATTTTATCTAAGTCCATGCCATATACAGAGATATCTGTACACAATGCAGCATTTTTAACTAGAACGTTAGCCTTCTTCAAATGCTTGAACACTGTTATTGAGGTGTATATAGTAAATGCATCATTTTTCTAAAAGGCTCTTGATGATCACAAAATGAAAATCTCACTAAATGTTAGGAATCTAAAATTAAACGTCACATAAGTAGAATTGCCCATTTTATAGACTTGGAAAGAGAAGGCCAAAGCGGTCATACAACTTACCACAGGTTCCACTGTTGTCTGTCACTGACAAGCTGAGTGACTCTGGGTGAGTCCCCTCTCTCTCAGCCTCAGTTTCTTGATCTGCAAAATGAGGTGATTGGACTAGATGATGAAAGAATCCATAGAGCCTGACAATGCCATTATTCAGCAAAACTAGGGGCCACATCTAGAACATTCTCCTTCCAAAGCAACATACAAGAAGATGAAAAGATATTTAAAGGGCACTTGGCATTACTGGTGTTCCAGCTGCTGAGACTGGATCTAAACTTGAGACTTCAGCATCGCAGAGGTCGCTGGTGCCCACCACAGACCAGCAAAGCAGGAGACAACAGCCGTGGGCATGCTCTTTGCCTGAGAAGGGCTGCGACTGAGTATCGCTCCAGAGTGATGGTCAGTCATCCCCTCCCCCTATCAGAGGATCTGACTTCCTCTGTTGGGCTCTGCCTCAGGCATCTCTCCTCAAGGTTCACTGGAGCCCTGGGCGTCCAACCCTTGACCTAAACCCAAACAAAGATGTATTTCCTGCTGGAAGACTCCCCGCCTGGACAAGTCATTCAAAATCAACCTTAAAAACCACTCCAGGCTCCAGGGAGCTGTCTATTTTAGCATCTTTTAATTAGCTGTCTGCCCTTGTCTGTAGGGAAATCTTTGTATTTTATTACAAGTTTATTAGCTTAAGAAACAAAGAGTTGGTGTGTTTAGGAAAAAAGGCAGATTGAATGGAGGGCCTGCCTTGATCATGGGCCATGCTTTAACCCATTACTTACTTCCCATTCCTAACTCTTACAGGAAAGTGTCTTTCTGGCTTTTATTTATTTTAAATGTTTTCATCCCTCCCTTTTTCATCTTTTGGTTGTTACTAGTTTCTAGTGAGAAACCTGAAAGTCAAGCAATGGTTTAGGGTATTTAAAGGATATTTAAATATATGACTCAGCAAGGCAGAACCCAGATTCATGGATGTAGAAGTGGACACTGCCAATGTCCCTATTAAGTTAACCATTAAGCCAGAATTTAATTAATTGGGCTCATTAAAAAAATATGCACAAGTGAACCTGAAGTATTGTGTTCTATTAGCTGTAACATATTGAAGAAAAGCTAGTATCACCTGGCCAGCATGGCTCTGTGGTTGAGCATCAAACTATGAAGCAGGAGGTCACGGTTCGATTCCCGCTCAGGACACATGCCTGGGTTGTGGGCTCGATCCCCAGTGTGGGGCGTGCAGGAGGCAGCTGATCCATGACCCTCTCTCATCATTGCTGTTTCTGCCTCTCTCTCCCTCTCCCTTCCTCTCTGAAATAAATAAAAATATATTTTTTAAAAAAGAAGAGAAAAGCTAGTGTATATATATATATATATATATATATATATATATATATATATACCAGAAGGAGAAAAATTGAATACATGATGTCTAATCCAATAAATAGCAATTTTGTTATTATTATCATGATTAGGATCATCTATATAAAGTGCTTATTACGTGTTGGGCACATTCCTAAACACTTTACATGATTACACAGTTTTAATCCTATAGAAACACTACAATGTTAACCCTAAAAGGAGGCATGGGGAGATGGAAGAGAGCCAAACAGCGGCCTCAAAGAAGGATTTAGTTGTTGACAAGGGACAGTCATAAAATTTTCATTGGCTACATTAGGCAAAACCAAGACGGGACGGTACAAGGAAACCCAGTTTTGCTCAACTGCTATTCATGCACAGAAACTGGGAAGCAGATGCCCCCTGCTTGCAGAGAGTGTGCTGATTGCTAAAGGCGCTCAGCAAAAGGACTCTCTGACCAGCTCTCGGGGATGCCATAGAAAGACATCCTGGCCCTGGCTGGTTTGGTTCAGTGGATGGAGCGTCGGCCTGTGGACTGAAGGATCCCAGGTTCAATTCCAGTCAAGGGCACATGCCCGGGTTGTGGGCTCAATCCCCAGTGGGGGGCAAGCAGGAGGCAGCCGATCAAAGATTCTCTCTCATCATTGATGTTTCTATCTTTCTATCCCTCTCCCTTCCTCTCTGAAATCAATAAAAATATATATTTTTTAAAAAGACATCCTGCAAAGAGATGAAAGTACCGAGAGCCTCTAAGGATCTGCCAAGCCCGCAAGGCTGGACAGAAGTAATATGTGAATGCTGAGTGTATATCTATGAAAATCAATGAACCAATCAAGACACAGATGGACAATCTTAGAGAAAATCATACTTGTGTGCGCCTCTCTCATAGCACTCATTATATTCTACCTATCTGTGTCCTTTTATCTTCATGCCTATTAGATTAGAAGTTCATTCACCTATGAACTATTAACCTTGGGAAAGATGCTCATTTTCCTCTCCTGTGATAATGGAACCTGTCACACAGGGTTGTCAGGAGGAATACATTGGTTGTATATTTAAATGATTTAGCCCCGTGGCTAGCACTAGTAACAACAAATAACATTCAATAGAGCTCTTTATTATCATTATTTTTATGACTGTTATTTACTGTTATTATTTTTGTGGTTATTTCTAAGCCATATGAATGTCTGAGGTTCAATAACTGTGATAGACATCTTTACATTCTACGAGATCAATCAAAGCAGCTACATTTTATCTGCCAACCTGCCAATCTTAATTGTCTGGGGAGAGGGGAATAAATCAAACCAACCACCTTTTCGATGAATGGCTACATCGAAGAAGAATTCAATAACATGTTTTCCAAGCGCTACTCTCTTAACTAAAATAAGAATATGGAGTGAACAAAAGAGAAAAAAACTGATATATTTTATTCCAGAATGTTAAAATTATTATTTAAAGCTCATTGCACGCATGACAGAGGACCATACATTTCTCCTTTTAGTGAAGGGACAATTATATGCCTTTGCAATTAATTAATGTTGCCTCCAATATTCCTATAAAAATGAATGGCAAATTCATTTGAATGTGGCGTCTGGAATAGCAGGACCCCTTGTCCAGTTCTTGTAAGTTAATGTAATATCAACAAGATGAATTTTAAGTGGCATGTGTGCAAACTGGTTTGAGATAAGCAAAATTCTACACTGCAATTTACACCAATATTTTTCCAACAATTTTAACAGTAGAGCTGTTGTTTGAAAGACTATGGTAGGTGTGACATAAGCAAAGGCACTTGAATTCCTATCATTGGCTGAGAAAGTGCCTCATTCTTCATGGAGGTCCTAAAGCACATCTCTAGAGTCTGAAAGCAGTTAGAAAAACATTCCTTAATGAAAATATCTTATACTATTGATGAGAAAAAGAAGTGCCCCAAATAGTTATTTGACCATGTCTCACAGCAACTTAATGGTTAAAATTAGATTTATGACTCATTTATTCATTTAGCTCGTGTTTATCGAGAGACCTCCATGTGCCCATTCTGTGCTAGGCTTCCAACATATACTGTGCTTATTTTTTTAATTTATTAAATTTACATTTGACAACTATTCATTTGTTATCTACAAGGTGCAGGCACTGTGTTTGGTACAGTGTGCTGAGGTGGATGTAAGTAAGATCTGCTCTCTGCCACAGCACTCTTTTTTTTTATTTCTATTTTACTTATTGATTTTTAAAGAGACAGGAAGAGAGAGATTTGTTGTTCTACTTATTTATGCATTCATTGATTGATTCTTACATGTGTTCTGACCAGGGATTGGACACACAACTTTGGCATATCACGAGGACATTCTCACCGATTTAGCTACCTGGCTAGACTTTTTAAAAGCTAGTGAGGAATGTACCAAGTACATAAATAGTTATAGTAATTGGTAGAATGTAGTTAATACCATAAGAAAGCAAGATAATTTGGCAAGTGTTAATTTAATAATTTCCTAGCCATATTAAAAAAACCAAAACTGGCCCGGCTGGTGTGATTCAGTGGTTCAGTGTCGACCTATAAACCAAGGGTCATGGTTTGATTCCCTCTCAGGGCACATGCCCGGGTTGTGGGCTCGATCGACAGATAGGCAGGAGGCAGCCCATCAATGCTTCTCTCTCATTATTGATGTTTCTATCCCTTTCTCTCTCTCTCTTCCTTTCTGAAATCAATAAAAACATATATTTTTTAAAAAGTTGTGTCTATTAAGCAATCATCAAATCTGTATTCATCATGCAACATCTGCAAAGAACTAAACAGTTATAGCTTACTGAGCTAGGAATTTATATGAAAATTTCCATACATATGACATAGATTAAGTAAATAGATTTCTACTTTTTAATCAATGGTTAGGAAAAAGACTATGAAAAAATGGGTCAACCTTTTTTGAGACTTCAAATACCCAATATTACTTTGTATTGGGTTAACTCTACAGACTTTTGATTTAGTACTTAATCTCCATGGTGATTAAGGGATGTGAAAAATGATAACGTTGGCATTTCATTGAGGTCCTTTTGGGAGGTGACATATATGACAAATTCATTCTTCTAATTAACTGTGATGAAAGTCATCTCATCTCCTATCAGTGGGAGAAATGTAAACAGAAACATGTGGTTTCCTTGATTCCTAATATTTGAACCAAAAAGGAAGATACTAACTAAAAAAGCCTGAAAAAATATTTTCTGTTATTTGAATAATTCCAGTTTGATCACTCAAATCACTTTTTACATAAGAGGATATAAGAAGTATCATATTTCCATTTCCATCTTTTTCAGATTATAGATCATTATTTTTAATGATAAAATTCACTATTCAATAAAATTTTAAATAAAATATAAACACTAGAAATAATTGGTATGTATGTAATATATATATATATATATATATATATATATATATATATATATGTATATGTAATCTTCTAGAATTTATACTGATAGAAAGTAGAAAACAATTTGTTTACTATTGCTACCATTACTTATTAGGAATCTGGGCACTTTTAAACACAACTAAGAGGAATATTACCAACTGCTCAGTAGGAGATGAAATGGCTTCCCCAGGTGGAGTTTACGGTTGTCTTATAATCACTCAAGACACCAAAATTTTCTTTAACCTAAACTAAGCTTGCTTGCTTTCAACCTTCCCTCCCTCAATCCTATAACTTTCTCTCCCTCTCTCTATATATATCTCTCTTTCTCTTTCCCTATCTCCTAATTTAAATATGGACCTTTTTAAATTCACCATGTTTGCCATCAACATCAACATTTCAAAAGACATCTTCAGTGCAACCACTGAGTGTATTACATTTGTTTCATTTTGTTAATTGAATGGTTCTTAAGCAACCTCATTATCTGCCCACAGCACTTAGCATTTCCCCATTATAAATATACCCTTAGAAATGTCTTTCCTGCCAACCAGGAAGGTCAGGATCTAGCTTATAGGGCCTCCCAAACACAGGACTGGTCTTTGAACAAATCTTCACTTATCAAAAGTCAGATGAGGAATAAGTTATTGAGTTGGGACTAACAGAGTCCATACTCTGGGCCACTGCACAGAATCACCAGCAGTACCAAGGAAACACTGACTTACTCTCTGTTTTGTTTGTTTGTTCATTTACTTATTTGTTATTTTTTTCTGTCAGAGAGCCTTTGACAACCTTAATATCCTGGGTCGTCCAGATATGAGGGTTATGTTATCTGCCAAATGGTTCTAAGCTGTGTAAAGTCCTTTCCCTGGATTCCAGTTCTAGGAAGATCTGGAAGAGAGGAAGAATTAGCAATCTGTGGACACACTGGCTGCACTCTGGGAAAACTGAAGCCGGAAGCCGGAAAGCTTCATCCTGCAAGCAGAACATGAATTTTTGTCTCTTTTCTAAGGAGGTTTTATATATACAGTTTAAAATACACATTAGGAAAAAGCTCCCATATGGAGTGGGTTATTAACCCCATTTGTTTATAACCATGAATTGAACTCTGCCTTAGTGGTAACTGTGTCCAGTCAAGCCTTATGGCATTATTAGTTTTCTGTGCTTTGCTCATCTTTGCACCTCAACCCAGAATGTTCTCTGCCTGCCCATCCTTGCCTGCCTAAACCAGGCTCAATTTTCTGGGCCAATCCCCAATGTCAGGGGCCTCCACACAGCTTTTCAACACTTCCCCACTTCTGGTTATCCGTCTTTTGAGTTGCCCCAGCACTTCAATCATGTTCCTAAAATAGCACTTACCACAATACATTATATATTTCTCGCCCTACAGACAAGGGTTTTCAAGCTCAGCACTCCAGATTTTTGGAGGCTATATAATTATTTTTCACTAGGGCTGTCCTGTGCGGTAGCATCATCTTGGGGCCTCTACTCCCTGGATGCCAGTAGCATTACTCCTTCATTATGACAACCAACTATGTCTTTAACCCTTTGAGTGCCAACCAATATCCTAGGAACTGTGCTAAAATTGCCAAGGCATTTTTGCCGATTTTACAGCAGTTTAGGAAAAAAATTATGAATCGCAAGTAAATGAAGTTACATATTCAAACACTTAAGGAAACCTTTACTACATTGACATACTCAGCAATATCATCATCACTAATAAAAGCAGACTTAGAACTGGACGCCATTTCGAAGCTTTGATAGCGCTCCCGGCACTTTTGGCGAAAGACAGGAGGAGCGTGATCGATCGTGCTCCCCGGCACTCTAGGGGTTAAAAATTGTCAAAGGTCCCCTTCCTTGGGGGAGGGCAACATAGCTCCAGTTAGCAGCCACTGCTTCAGATCATGAGAACCACAGGGCAGAGAGAATGCTTTTTCTTAATCCTACATACCCCAGAATGTTAGGCCCCCAGCAGTTAATTAAAATCTTTTGGTCAGAATTAAAATAGTCTCATTTCCTAATAACTACATATTTTATTATAACATGCACTGAATTCACACTTTGTAAGTGAAACAAAGTGACTACTAAATTATACTCTGGATTCAAAGAAAGGGATATCAAAAGTCATTGGATGTCAAAGTGAAAAAATACTCTTTCTTAAATTTGATTTAAGAAATCAAATTACATATAGTTATGCATATGAACTATATTGCATATATGTATACACACATACACATACATACACATATGCGTAGCAGCCTCGCCTGGAAAATTGCATTCAGAAAACTAGATAAAAGTGATGTGATATTTCTAAATATCCCATCTGAAATTCTCTGTTCACCAAAATATGCAATGAATCTCTAGCTTTTATTTTCCTCCAAGACTCATTCATGGAAACAGCGATGCTTTTTTTGAAATTTCAAAATAAGAGGGACTTGATTAAATACAGAAGCATGGACACTATATGATATCGCCTGTCATCCTGATAAAATATTCATTTCTTCCCAATTTAGTGCAGAACAATTTAGAGTCCTCCGACTCTGCTGATTTCTGCAGAGAAATTCACCACTTGTTTGAACTGCAATCCAGAACCCCTGTGATCAGAATGCCAACGTGTGATGAGGGACTTTTCCTCACCTCAGAAGTGGACTGGCACTACACATCCTCACTTATTTCCTGAGCTAAGGTTTTAATTCTAGTTTTAAAAGTGAGATAGATCTGTCTTTTCAGGTTTCGCTAGTTTCAAATTCATGAAAATCTGTTCTTCTCACTGGGATCCTGCAAGCAGTAACTGTGCATTGGATACGTCTGAGTAGTTTTTGCAAGGAAGACATGCAAAGACAAGCCCAGTTCCTCCTCAGCAGTCAGAAAGGAGG